GGGCAGGAGGACCATGGATTGAACTTCGGGGCAACTGGCTCCATCGCGTAGACATCCCTGAGTGCACCCTTCCGCTCCCTTTTGGGTATGTGCGTTGTGTATATCATGTTCACCGTCCGCACCTGTGGGGGGAAACCCTTCTGTCCTCTATTGTTCGGCGGTTGGGTCTCGTCCTCGTCATTGCTATGTAGCCCCTTGTCATTGTTTTCGGGAATTAACTTGCCTGCCTGCTTGAATACCCAACAGTCCCTGTTGGTGTGGTTAGCTGGCTTTTCGGGGGTGCCGTGTATCTGGCACAAGCGGTCGAGTATTTGGTCCAAATTGGACGGACCCGGAGTAGTTCTTTTGAATGGCTTTTTTCGCTGACCGGGTTTAGAGCCTCTGAATCCGGCATTGACTGCCGTATCCTCAATATGATCGCCGTTAATGCGGCGTTTGTTTTTGTTGCGACACGGCCTGCCATTTCGGTCCTTGAAGTCCGGACTGCCAGAATTTTTGCTGAGGTTATTGCTACGTGCTAGCCAGCTATCTTCACCCGCGCAGAAGCGGGTCATGAGTGATGTGAGGGCTGCCATGGATTTCGGCTTTTCCTGTCCCAGGTGTCGGGCAAGCCACTCGTCGCGGATGTTATGCTTGAAGGCCGCGAGGGCCTCCGCATCCGGACAGTCGACGATTTGGTTTTTCTTGGTTAAGAACCGTGTCCAGAATTGCCTGGCCGATTCGTCTGGCTGCTGAATTATGTGGCTTAGGTCATCAGCGTCTGGTGGTCGCACATAAGTGCCCTGGAAGTTATCGAGGAATGCGGCTTCCAGGTCCTCCCAACTCCCAATTGACTCTGCTGGCAAGCTGTTGAGCCAATGTCGGGCTGGTCCTTTAAGCTTGAGGGGGAGGTATTTGATGGCGTGAAGATCGTCACCGCGGGCCATGTGGATGTGAAGGAGATAGTCTTCAATCCAAACCGCGGGGTCTGTTGTGCCATCGTAGGATTCAATATTGACGGGTTTAAACCCTTCGGGGATTTGATGATCCATTACTTCATCTGTGAAGCATAGTGGGTGTGCGGCGCCTTTGTACTGGGCGATATCACGACGGAGCTCAAGGGAGCTTGGTCTATTTTGTTCGGCCCGGCCGATCTTACTGTGTCCGGCGCGACGATTGTCGTCACATATCGTGGGACGCCCACGTGATCCATAGATCGATCTTGATTGTCTTGCCTTGTCCTCCAATATATCTCACAAGTCCGGAGTGTTCCCCTGTGGCCGTGTGCTTTTCGAGCGATGCCGGGGTACGGGTCTGGTGAAGGGCCTAGAGGCCACTCTGTCGCGACCACGGGGTGGTCGGTCAGTCGTATTGTCTCCTGGTGATGCGGGTTCGTAAGCCTCCTCCTCTAATCGGGGGAGCAGCTTGCGTTTAGGGTAGCTTTTGGAGGGGCGTTCGATCTCATGCTCTTCGGCCGCGAGGACTTCCGTCCATCTGTCGGCTAGCAGATCCTGATCAGCTCTAAGCTGTTGCTGCTTTTTCTTGAGGCTGTTCGCCGTGGCCATAAGCCTGCGTTTAAAACGCTCTTGTTCGATGGGATCCTCAGGCACGACGAATTCATCGTCGTCGAGGCTTGCTTTGTCTCCGGAGGAAGGCATATAATCCTCTACCTCTTCTTCTGCCGCTCTCTCATGAGGGCTGCATCTCCGTCCTCCTGCGCTGCATCTTGCTGGAGCGGGTTGTCTTCGGCACTATCCGGTGTATTCTTGTCTCCGGTGCCGGAGTCTTCATTCTTGCTGTGGCGGGATTTAGAGCGGTGCCGCTGACGCCGACGCTTGGGCTGCTTTTTGGAGGGGTCATCCTCCTCTGTTCCTTCGCCATTCCCATCTTTTGGGATATCCACCATGTATATGTCATACGATGAGGTGGCTGTCCAGTGCCCAGTGGGCGCTGGTTCTTGGTCGTCTCCGGCATCGTCGTCCATACCGTCGATGTCCTCGGAGTCGTAGTCTAGCATGTCGGTTAAATCATCGACAGCGGCTACCAAGTGGGTGGTGGGTGGGCTTTGAATTTCTTCGCCGTCCGCATCCCAACCGTCCTGACCGCAGTTCAGCCAGGGCTCTCCTGATAACGAGAGATATTTTAGCGAACTCAAGATGTCGCCGAAAGGTGAGTGTTGAAAGACGTCCGCTGCGGTGAACTCCATGATCGGCGCCCAATCTGATTCGATCAGGGCGGGCGCGGGAGGTTCGGAGTCCGGCGAGGAGTCCGGCACCTTGGAGTCACGAGCTTTATGAGGGACAAAGTCAGTGTTTGGCTCTATCGTCGTAGAGGTTGCAGCCCCCGAGGCGGTGTCTAGGCATCCATCCTCGATCTGCGCGGCCGGCTCCGAATTGAGGATCGGAGCGACCTCGAGTGCGGCCTCCAGGGTACTGTTCGACGGCAGAGCTAAATCATGCCCGATGTGACAGTGCGGCACGCTCGGCTGTGGCTCAAATCCGTCGAAGATCAAGTCCCCGGGGATGTCAGCCGTGAAGTTCAAACTTCCAAATCTGACCTGACGGCCAGGGACGTAGCTTTCGATCTGCTCTAGATGGCCAAGCGAATTGGCCCGCAGTGCAAAGCCGCCGAATACGAAGATCTGTCCGGGAAGGAAGGTCTCACCCTGGACTGCGTTGTTGATGATGATCGAAGAAGCCATCGAGCCTATCGGTGACGACATAGAGGAACTCTCAATGAAAGCACCAATGTCGGTGTCAAAACCGGCGGATCTCGGGTAGGGGGTCCCGAACTGTGCGTCTAGGCGGATGGTAACAGGAGACGAGGGACACGATGTTTTTACCCAGGTTCGGGCCCTCTTGATGGAGGTAAAACCCTACGTCCTGCTTGATTAATATTGATGATGTGGATTACAAGAGTAGATCTACCACGAGATCAAGGAGGCTAAACCCTAGAAGCTAGCCTATGGTATGATTGTTGTTCGTCCTATGGACTAAGGCCATCCGGTTTATATGAACACCGGAGAGGGCTAGGGTTACACAGAGTCGGTTACAAAGGTAGGAGATCTACATATCCGTATCGCCAAGCTTGCCTTCCACGCCTAGGAAAGTCCCATCCGGACACGGGACGAAGTCTTCAATCTTGTATCTTCATAGTCTTGGAGCCCGGCCGATGATGATAGTTCGGCTATCCGGACACCCCCTAGTCCGAAACTCCCTCAGCCGCCAACGCCACGAGGGCTTTGCCCGGTGGCGCCCATCGGTGGCGGCGAGGAGAAGGGCAGCGGGGAAGGGAACCCCTAGGCGGCGACGCCGCCCTCCCGGGTCGCCCGCGGGGTGGACGACACGGGAGTCGGGGAGTCGGGGGAGTATGGCGATCGAGAATAATGTCTCGGGGAGATCGTGTTCATCCCCTCTTTAATCAACAATTTTGTCGAAGTAGATGGATAAACTATTTATTTTAGTGCTGGTAGAATGATTTTTAATCAGCAATGCTGACATTTATTTATTTATTAGAAGCATTGAAAAAATTCTCTAGAAAAGAGATATTTTTGTCTAGAACATGTTGCTAGTTCATTTTCCTCCCGACTACTCGACACTGGCACAAATAGTAGACTCTGAAGATCAAGGTGGGTGGGCTCAATTATGGTTGTGATCTGTCAAACGCAAAAAAGTGCAAGCCAAAGCACAAGATGATCAGAGATAGTCAAATAAAGTGGCACATTATTTAGCTCAATTGGCCATCTAGACAAACGAGACTATGTGGTTTGGCATCTCGATTCACCCACATATATCTCGGTTGTCTTAGAGTGGCCAAGAATGTGATTCTTTTTATGTATAAAAAGAGATAAGTCCATGTCTCAACTTCAAAATCAGAAGTCACACCCTCAACTTCGCATATCTGACAAGTTTTATCCCTGCCCCTAAGCAAATCGGTGTCTGCAATGAGCCAAAGTTACAGAAGGCCTCACCCTCCTATCCGACCGTCGTCGTCGTTGCTTTGTTTCCTCTCTAATGCCCCACCTTGCCCAGTTTCAAAATTTGAAATGTCGTCTCACGCTTTAAATGTCACAAGCAATTCGGACCACATTTTGTCATATCAATGGTCACTTTGGATGCTCGAACGCCTCACATTCTGCAATTTGGCCCTCATATTCTTGTTCTCTTTTCTAATCGTTGGAACCACATAACAGTCATAGGACGCAAACATCTTCCGATGATTTCCTAACCCAGTGGCATACCTCGCCTTCTAGCGGTTCTCGTTGCGATGCACGCCCATTGTGCTAGTTTAATAAGAATCGATAGAGCAAGTGTGCGATTTGCTGATAATTCAGTGAAATCTGAAATCAAATCACTAGCTCTGTTGGAGTTTGGCATGTTTGCTCTGTCTGCAGCAACTCTCGAACCACTGTTTTGCTTGTGCTCCCATTCCCAGTCTGTCGACCCTGCATAAAGGGCTCGAACAAAACAAGTCTAGGCACTAACTGCAGGGAGAGTGATGCTTAATCATTTAGACCTATTCTCTCTTCAAGTTCCTGAAGAACCAAATCTCTACATCACACAAATTGTAATGGTAGCGGATTAATCGCTATCGTGAGTAAGTCGGAACAAGAACCTGAGGCAACAAGAAGATGAGATTTTGCCATTAGGATCACACAAATCTGACAATGTCGCTGTAATCTAGAAGATACTCCGCTTCGTGGTCCTGTAATTTGCACAGCCATTTGATCTGAAAACTGCCTGGTCAACTAGAGCCATCAATCGTATTTTCAGCATGTTCACATCAGGCTACATGTGTGAGCAGGGCAGGCATTTGCAGCGCAGGTGAGTTTTCAATGAACTAATAAGAGCATGATGATAGAACCAGGCACAGATTAAAATACTTTGAAACCATACCAGCGATAACAGTAGGGAGAATTCCAGTGCGAAAAACAGTTCTAGTACATTTTATTATCCGCTTACAACCTGTTCGGCGAAATGCCACAACAAGCCAAGCTGCCGCGGAAGCCCCTGGACGGCGCGTCAGTCGCGGAGCACGGTGGCCGGGTCCCTGGACGGCGCGAGGCCGCCGTCGCCCTCCGGGTGACCAGTCTGGTCCTCCCAGGAGGCGGAGGCGGAAGCGGCGGCCGCGGCGGCGGCTGCGGCGTGGTCGGAGCTGTGGATTTGGGAGTCCATGGCCTCCTGGGCGCGGTCGAGGTAGGGCTTGAAGCCGACGCGGTAGGAGAGGTAGGCGAAGGCTGCGGCGCCCAGCACCACGATGCCCGACCGGATCGCGTTCTGCCGCGCCCGCCCGCCGCCCCTCATCGCCATTTTAACCACCCCTCCTCTCTCTCGGTTGACGCGACGGTGTGCCTGAAGGTTCACTAGTGTTGTGCTACCGTGACTCTGCAGCTGCTGAACCAACAGTCTCTCTTCCCAGTTAAAGGGTTGGCATGCCGAAAAATGTTTGTTGGAACAACAGAAATTTCGTCGCAACTAGAAAGAATCGTGAGATCGCAGCGGGACCAAAAAGAGTCGTGAGATGTTGTGCAGTTACAGTACGGGAAAAGATGGAAGAGATTGATAAAAAATTGCTGCTGCCCGGGATCGAACCGGAGACCTTCAGTGTGTAAGACTGACGTGATAACCACTACACCACAGCACCTTTTGTTTTACAAACGAACAACAGCTCTTATATTTCAAACTAGCGTGGTCTTTTGGCACGCCTAAGATCAGTGGCCAACCATCTAAAGGTTTGCGGTTCTGTCAAGTCTAAGTTGTCCGTATTCTTCTTTTGTTTTTTGCGAATAACTAGTCCGTATTCAAAGTTACGCTGATGTTGTTTTGCGCAATAAGTTATAGCCATTTGTTATTGTAAAGAAACAGTAACGAATAATAACAATCGCTGTTGATTGATTGTGATGATGTCCGGATTTATATTCCCGGAAGGGACGCGTCGCACATACGCGATCATTACAAGAGATGGGATTAGAAGGACGCGTCTGTCATATTAGGACGTGATCCGTCGGGAGAGAAACCCTATGTTGGTTTTGCTAAGCAGGGATTTCCTTTAATTAAACTAATTAATTAATCCTAGCATTCTTCCTAATCCCTGTTTCAATGATTTTTGTAAACATCGTCATCAACATCTTGATCAGCCCCCTCCAAAAATCCTGTAGGAAAAATATAAGGAGGTATGTACAATATACCATCAAGAACACCTTCAAAAAATTCACTGGAAAAATAAGGAGAAAATGGCATATCGTAATGCCTGCATTACTATTACCTCATTAAAACCTTCCATAAGAAACCATTCAAGAAAAACTTATAAAGGGAAAGAGTGCAATATCAAAGACCCAAGGATCACAAACAGATTATCATTCAAGGATACACTACCCCTGAACTTTGCAAATCTCGAAGTCGTTTCATACCAATTTCATTGATATACTTCTCAAATAAAGAACTTGACGATGAATTTGTAAACAAATCAACATGATTATCACATGACTTCTTTTGCAAAATACTTATCTCTAGTTTGTTGTAACTCATGGGGATAAAATAATTTAGGAGAAATATGCTTTGTGATATTACTCTTTATATAACTTGTTTCATCTGTGTAATACATCCATAATTATCTTCATAGATAATGGCGGTTGATTCCAATGATCCAATCCCACTTGAATTTTCAATAAAAAATATTATTTTGCGAAGCCATACACATTTACATCATGTTTCAAACAAAGCAATAATTTTAGAATGATTCGTGGATGTAACCACCAGAGTTTGTTTTGTCATTAGATCCTTGTTATCAATGCCAACTAGGTATCATAAGTAAATGGATCCCGGTTGTTCAATTCTTTGATAACCAAGGTCATTCTTTGCTAAAGAGAAATGATCACTATGAGTCAGACTCAATAGAATTGGATCCATTCCAAATACCCAGAATTAGGATTCTTGATCCCTCTCAATCTCTCTTTCAATTCGAGGATCCAAAGATGTGTTTTCATAGTCATCTCTGAATATTTGCCATCTCGGAATATTTTCGATTTCATTTTTCTATGGTTGTACCTCCACTCAAGAAGACAAAACCAGTCTGTGATCTATCATTATTTGGATCAGATAAGTATCCAGCATCAAAATATGCGACCATGGTCTTATCCTGATTTTTTTGATAGAACAAACCAAGATCTTTGGTGCCTTGAAGATATCTAAAAATGTTCTTCACACCAACTCAATGCCTCTTTGTTGGTGATGCACAGAATCTAGCCAATAAATTTACTGCAAACGATATATCTGGCATGGTGCAGTTTGCTAGATACACTAGTGCTCCAATAGCACTGAGGTAAGGAAACTCAAGTCCTAATATCTCTTCATCATCACCCTTAGGTCTAAATTCGGTCTTTACCATTTATGTTTTCGGTGGACATGCTTTATCCATATGAAATTTCTCAAGAATCTTTTGGATATAAGCAGACAATTCTCAAAGGGAGATGTTCAAGTTGTAAGCCCAAACTAAATTTAGTCTTACGTAGATCTTTGACCTCAAACTCCGTTTTAAGATGATTACTTGCCTCATGTAATTCTTGTGTAGTCCCAATGATATTTAGATCATCCACATACACAAAAATAATACAAAATCCATTTTTAGATTTCTTAATAAACACACATGGGCAATCATTATTATTTTAGTAAACCTTTGATATGTCTCCGGTGTATTTATAATTTTTTATTGTTCCATGCTATTATATTATCCATTCGAATGTTTTATATGCATTATTATGCTATATTATATCAGTTTTGGGATTAACCTATTAACCTAGTGCCCAGTGTCAGTTGCTGTTTTTTCCTTGTTTTTGTCTTTCACAGAAAATCAATATCAAACGAGTCCAAACGAAACAAAACTTTTGACGATTTTTCTTGGGCCAGAAGGCACCTAGAAAACTTTGGGAGGAGGCCAAGAGAGCCACGAATGATCCACAAGCTCACCAGGCGCGCCGTAGGGGCGCCCTATGAGCTTGTGGGCCCACCATGGCACCTCTAACCCTAATCTCGGCTCCAAAAATACCCAAATATTCCCCGTATACCAGAAGGCACACCAAAAATACTTTTCCGCTGCCGCAAGCTTATGTTCTCGTGAGATCCCATCTTGGAGCCTTTTCTATCACTCTACCGGAGGGGATTCGGTCATGGAGGGATTCTACATCAACCTTGTTGCCCTTTCGATTATGTGTGAGTAGTTTATCATAGACCTACGGGTCCATAGCTAGTAGCGAGATGGCTTCTCCTCTCTCTTTGATCTTCAATACAATGTTCCCCTCGATGTTCTTGGAGTCTATCTGATGTAATGTTCTTTTGCGGTGCGTTTGTTGAGATTCGATGAATTGTGGATTTATGATCAGATTATCTATGAATATTATTTGAGTCTTCTCTGAACTCTTTTATGCATGATTAAGATTGCTTTTTTATTTCTCTCCGATCTATTGATTTGGTTTGGACAATTAGACTGATTTATCTTGCAATGGGAGAGGTGCTTTGTGATGGGTTCAATCTTGCGGTGTCTTCACCTAGTGACAGTAGGGGTAGCGAGGCACATATTTGTATTGTTGCCATTAAGGATAAAAATGGGGTTTATACCATATTGCTTGGATCTATCCCTCTACATCATGTCATCTTGCTTAAGGCGTTACTCCATTCTTGTTAACTTAATACACTAGATGCATGTTGGATAGCGGTCGATGTGTGGAGTAATAGTAGTAGATGCAGGCAGGAGTCGGTCTACTTGTCACGGACGTGATGCCTATATGCATGATCATTGCCTTGGATATCGTCATAATTTTGCGCTTTTCTACCAATTGCTCAACAGTAATTTGTTTTTCCATCATATGCGTTCTTTCAAGAGAGAAGCCTCTAGTGAAAAATATGGCCCCGGGTCTATTTCTCATCATATATTTTCAGAGCTATAAAACCAAAAACACAAAAAATACCTTGTTGCAATTTATTTACCTTTACCTTATTTTGCACTTTTATTTATCTTTTATACCTATCTCTATCAGATCTCATCCTTGCAGTTAACCGTGAAGGGATTGACAACCCCTTTTCACATTGGGTGCAAGTATGTATTTGTTTGTGTATGTGCAACTATTGGAGACTTGGGTGTTCCTCCTACTAGATTGATACCTTGGTTATTAACTAAGGGAAATACTTATCTCTATTTTGCTGCATCACCCTTTCCTCTTGAAGGGAAAAACCAACGCAAGCTCAAGAAGTAGCAGGAAGAGTTTTTGGCGCCGTTGCTGGGGAGGATATACATCAAGCCTACCAAGTACCTATCATAGACTATCATCTCTTGCACTTACATTATTGGCCATTTGCCTCTCATTTTCATCTCCTCCACTTCTAAAACGTTTTCAGAGAAACAAAAAAATATTTGCCTTTTTATTTGCTTGTGCGCTAAATTGCTTGCTTTGCCACGATGTATCAAGAAAATACCAAGTTGTGTGATTTTTCAACACTAATAACAATGATTTTATTAGTAATCCGATTGCTCCGGCCACTAGTGCGGAATATTATGAAATTAATGCCACTTTGTTGAATCTTGTTACGAAAGAACAATTTTCTGGTAGTCCTAATGAAGATGTTGCATCTCTCTAAATACTTTCCTTGAGATATGTGATATGCAAAAGAAAAAAGTTGTGGATAATGATATTGTTAAATTGAAGCTATTTCTGTTCTCACTACGAGATCGTGCTAAAACTTGGTTTTCATCTTTGCCTAAAAATAGTATTGATTCTTGGGATAAGTGTAAAGATGCTTTTATTTCCAAGTATTTTCCTCCCGCTAAGATCATCTCCTTTAGGAACAATGATACGTCCATTTTGCATCATTTTTTCTACTGTTATTTATGTTGTCTTATTGTATAATAATGCTTTTTGGAGTAATTCTAATGCCTTTTCTCTCATAATATCCAAGGTATGCACCAAGGGGGAGAATTCCAACAGCTAGAAATCTGGACCTGAAAAAGCTACGTCAAGCTACCTATTCTGCACAACTCCAAATGAGCTGAAACTTCCCAAGGATTTTTTATGGAATATTAATAAATATTGGAGCAAATAAGTACCATAGGAGGACCACCAGGTGGGCACAACCCACCTGGGCGCGCCAGGAGGCCCAAGCGCGCCCTGGTGGGTGTTGCCCTCCTCGGCCCACCTCTGGTGCCCATCTTCTGGTATATATGTCATTTTGACCTAGAAAAAACCAAGGGAGGACATTCGGGTTGAAGCGTCACCGCATCGAGGCGGAACTTGGGCAGCAGCACTTTTGCCCTCCGGCGG